AGGGTTCTCGGGGGCTGTTACCCCGGAGACGGTTTTCACTGGAGAACCTTGGGTTAGTTATTCCAGTGGTAGTCTGATCGGGTTGAGCATCAACCGAAGGCCGAAAGCTGTTGCTCTGAGCGGTGATCAGTGCATTGAAGCTCCGGGATCAGTGCGTTGGAGCCTCCGTTGTTTGGTGAGCCATAGCTCTGGGAAGGTAACGTATCAGATACCTTTGGATAAGAGGTCTCGGGACCTTTCGGTAACAGGTCTCGGGACCTTTCGATAAGAGGTCTCGTAACCTTCGGATAAGAGGTCTCGGGATCTTTAGATAGTTGGGCCTGGTTCTGGCTAGGTATTGTATCTGGTACCTGTTTGGTATCGCACCAGGTACCTCTCCGATATCGTACCAGGCTCCGATTCGGCTGGGATCTCCCAAAAGTCTCTTATTCAAATTCGTGGGGACCTGAGGCTGAGGTCTCATAGGAGCCTCATGTTCAGCTTCGCAGAGACCTGAGGCTGAGGTCTCATAGGAACCTTTCGCTCAGATTCGCGGGGACCTGAGGTTGAGGTCTCATAGGAGCTTCTTGCTCTGGTTCACTGGAAACCTGAGGTTGGATCTCATAGGAGCCTCCTTTCAGATTCGTGGGGACCTGAGACTGAGGTCTCATCGGAGCCTCTCGCTCTGGTTCACTAGAGACCTGAGGATGGATCTCATAGGAGCCTCTTGTTCAGGTTCGTGGGGACCTGAGACTGAGGTCTCATCGGAGCCTCTCGCTCTGGTTCACTAGAGACCTGAGGATGGATCTCATAGGAGCCTCTTGTTCAGGTCCACATAGAGAATTGCAGAAATCTGCACAGATTTTGCACATTGCGGACTGGATTTTGCACGGAACATCTTCTGATAAAACTTTCAGAAATCTGTAAACGCACGGATTTTGCATGAAACGAGTTTCTGATAAAACTTTCAGAAATCTGTAAACGTACGGATTTTGCACGGAACAGTTCTCTGATGAAACTTTCAGAAAACATGTCCCCTCGGATTTTGCACGGAACAGTTCTCTGATGAAACTTTCAGAAAACATGTCCCCTCGGATTTTGCACGGTTTCTGATAAAACTTTCAGAAATCTGTAAATGCACGGATTTTGCACGAAACGAGTTTCTGATAAAACTTTCAGAAATCTGTAAACGCACGGATTTTGCACGGAAAAGTTCTCTGATGAAACTTTCAGAAAACATGTCCCCTCGGATTTTGCACGGTTTCTGATAAAACTTTCAGAAACCTGTAAATGCACGGATTTTGCACGGAAAGTTTTTTATAAAACTTTCAGAATTCAAGGTGATCCAAATCATGGTCGATGGGATCCATTCTCAAGTCACGGAGTGAAGGATTCAATTATCTCGTCCCCACAGACGGCGCCAAAATGTGAGGGGTAAAACTCACTTTCTAATTTAGGTTAGGTTGAGATTGGGGAGAAGACAATCGTGGGCTGAATCCCTTAAGAACTTAGAGAATGAATTATGATTGTATTGATGAATAAGGGTTACAAAGATGATTATGATGAATACAAAGAATATAACCGAATGATTTGAGAGTTACAATGTGTTTGTAAAAAGCGTGAAT